TTAATCTAAATATTAATAGAAATGGACATATTTAAATCGGATTTGTTCGAAAACATTTGTTTTTTAGAAATTTAATTTGTCAGTTTTTCATTAATTATATATAAAAATTAAAGTGATATTTCGGAGATTGAAATTTTCATAATACTGTAATTGTAGTCTAAAAATTATGTGTGCGTATGTGTGTGTTTGCGCAATAACTTTGTTGCATCGTCAATAAGTCAGGGAGACGCTTGAGGTTTTTGATGTGCAAGTTCTTTGAACTCTACTCGTTTGCGAATGCACGGTAGTTTCGGTAGCACGGCATCGAAACTGGGAAAATCGTTTTGGACGAATTGTCGGTTTATTGTTTGGTGTAATAGTATGAGAATGTCGCGTTAGGTTGGGATTCGCAAGCACATAGCACTCTTATTGTGGATATTAGCGTAGGTAGAGATGTCGTGGAACTCGTTAACAATTCATGTGAACGACGTGGCAAGTGTATTTATACGTTTTTAATTGCAGTGCGTCAAGGCTGTGAAATTTTACAGCAATGCAAGTTTTCTTTCAGTAGCAAAGTATAACTTTTGACGTAAATAATTTCTTTCCCGCTTATTCTATCGTGTTTTTTGTTTGTTACAGAAAAGCTTAATACACCGCCTTGGCCATAATTATAAAATACCCTCAATTTATTCCCTCAAAAGAGTTACTGGTGGTAATAAGAATCAATAATAAAATTGTTACAAAAATAAATACTATTTTTCACTGAAATTGTTTTTAATTTATTTTTTTTAGATATAGAACGTTTATACGTCAATTTTTTGGGATGTTTTATATTATGGCTAAAGCTATATCCCTGAAACTCCTGAAAGTACTATAACTCTTTCTATATTATTAGCAATTAAATTGTTTTTTCGAAATTGTTATATTGAAAAATACTGTATATTGGTTTATTACAGATATATTTTTAAAATTTCAAAACGCACGTTTTTTTATATTTATCAAAAATATATGCTATAAGAAGAAAAATATATAGGGATGTATGAAAAGGATCACGAATAACTGCATACAAACGAATATTGCAACAGATAGTCCTTGTTTCAAATGTTCCGCATGGAGAGTGCCTGAGGAATGTCAAACGCAAATATTTATTTTACATTGCAGTTCAATTCGAATATTTACGTTGTACATCGATATTCAGCTCGGAGTTATTGATGAAATGCTCTATTACAGTTTAATGGTATAGCAATCGGATATGCTATTTTTATATTACGCTATAATAGTAATGCTATTTTTTTATAAAACTATACACTGAATATATTTGAATAATAATATATTACTCATTATCGATTTTTTTAAAAGTACATATTGCTGTTTTCAAAAGTGACACAACTTAACGAATATAATTTTTGAATTTACCATGAATAAGCCAAATAAATGTTACCCATTTTTATCAAAACTTAACTTTATTAAAAAATCGTCAAAATTGTCACAACTTGAAAAGGGTGATTAAAAAAAATTCATCAAGTTATCACAATTCAAAAAGATGGTTTTTTTCCAAGGGTTTTGTAAGAAAATAAAAATGACAAAAATGATATTCGATCATATAAAGAATATGTTCTTTTTGTTGATATTATTTGATTAGTCAATGGTTTTTTGTCCAATTAAAAACTAGTTTTTCCCTTTCTATAGAACACTTAGTTTTTTCAGTTGTGTCACTTTTAAAATAAGAGAACGATATATGTATAGATACATGAAAAGTTTATATATTCAAAAATTCAGTTTTCCAATCTCATCCAAACTTCAGCGATCGATTATTTTGAGAGAAAGAAATTTCTCTTCAGTTGTAAAGTTCGTGTATTTATAAACCTTTAATATCAATAGTAAATACAACTTTTTAATGAAAAAGATATCAAGTTTGACTGGAAAAACCAGTTCTTTCTTTTTTTTCATAACTGTTCTTCCAAACAAGTTTAGCTACTAAGATCGGATCGCGTCGATCAAATTCGAATCGCATTTTCATCGTGAAAATTATCACCTGTATCTGTCACAATAAAAATGTTAATTTAGTAAATGTATATATTTCCTAGTTAAAATGTATGAACATATACTGACTTGATAAGTAAATGTATTCACAAGCAATGAAAATTAAACTTTTACAAATAGAAGTATACATTTTCACACTTGATTTAGTAAAAGTACGAAAACAAAATGCACCAAATTTAAATGAACACTTCAATTATTAGCAGATGTGCACGCCAATCACATAACTTATACTGGAAAAAAGAGCCTAGTTGCATTAATTGAAATTCTGATTGAAAATAGACAAATCAGAATTTTCTAGTTAAATTCATTTAGTTGAGATAATTGAAATTCTGATTGATATGATCAGAATCTTGTGCTTTGTTCATTTCCAATCAGAAATTTTTCTCGTTGTATTAATATGCTATGCTTGTTCGTGAATGTTTAATTTAAAATTAAGGCTCCTGAGTAGTCATCTTAACCATATAGCAAATCGTGACGTCATAAGCGATAAATGGCACGTTGATTTTTTTTTGCATGCCATTTGTGAATAAAGAGAATTTGGATGAAACTGAAATGATGAAATCGCTTTAAAACGCTTGTAAAATGGGCCGAGACTATCCTTATCTCCCTTGACAACCAATAAATAGTCAAAAAAGGCTTATGAAGTGAAAATAGGCTACGTATGAGCATTGACTAAAACTAATAAATGCAATTTACGTGCCTTTTATGACTTCCATGAAAGAGGAGCTAGTGTCACAGGATTCATAATCAAAGTTGGAAAGTTAATTTGAAAATCAATAAACTATTTAAGTAATACAGATGAGTTTTTAATAAAAGGAAACTAGAAACTGATCAATGTTATACTTTATTATAATACTTCACGATTAAAAACTTTCTAAAACCAAGTTTCGTGATAATTAAAATAATTTTTTATAATTTTGTCCGTCATAGATTGAATCTATCTTTGGATCTTTTATTTTTTATCTTAGATTCGAATAAAACATTATCAAATTACTCCATAGGTCAAATTTCATAAAAATTGAACAAACGTTATAAAAGAAGATGACTCCAAATTTACTGAAATATATATTATTATTGTGATAGATGATTCGCAGTATTATGTTTTGATTAATGTGTTGCAGCAAATGTATAAATTTCAATAAATGAACATATTTATTAGGAATAACAGATATTCTTATTTGTAGTTGACACTTTTCCTAAATTTTACATAAATGCATATCTGGACTAGTAGGCGTATATAATTACTAATTAGGCTTTTACTGTGATATATCCATACGAATCGGAAACTTCAGCATTCCAGTCTTTGCGCAATATACGATTATTTTCTCCGAGAGAAACCGAGAGGCTCGACGACCGAAGATGACGAGCGCAAAACGTACTTTCGGGCTGAAAATAACGTCGCCGGCACGACGGAACGGGATGGAATCTCGCCGTTCGCAATTTTAGAAGCTGTAAAGCCGATCACAAGTTCTCTTACACGCTGCAAGTGACAAGAGCGAACTCGGTCCTCCCAGACGTGCATGGTTGCTCTCTCGTTCGCGCGACGTAAAACGTGATCGCGACGTTCCCACGTGAGTCATCGTTAGATCTCGGTGTCCTCGGCGCGAACGGCCAAATGGAACCCCTTCGCGAACGCTTCAGGTGAGGGAGGGTAGATCCCTTCGCTGAAAATGATCAGCGAGATTCATCTCCCAGCCAACGAGTTCGCAGAATCCATTTGTTCCGCGGTTATCGATGCGGATACGCGTTAATCCGAGTTGTCTAGGCGTGCGCGTATGTCGCCTATTCGGAATTAACGGTTCGACTCGAACTACGGCCTGAAATTTCAATTTCATTGTAGTCTCGGACTGGTGACAAGTTACTACTCGTCGCGTCGGTTTCAACCTCAAGCAGAAACTCAATCACATTATCTTTCAAGTACTCTGCAAGTATCTGCGAGATATAATTCTGTGAGATGTCTTCGTTCTTTTTGCAAGAAAAGCAATTACAAATTGTATTATAATTGTTTGTTTTGATATACGGGATGTTCTAAAGAATTGCTTTAACTTCAGTGTTTCTAACATCTTTCGAATCGAGTTTCTTTAAACGGGATTCTAATAAATAACTACATAAATTATTAATGCCTTTTTTATAATCCGCTTAAAATTTATTGATAATTTAAGTTTCAATTCAGAATTTTTTGAAAGAGTTAAATTTAATGAAATGGTATCGAGGATTTTTTATGCCTATTGCTCCATACAATATAGAGCAATAGACCTTATTATATATGTACGGAGTGTTACATTAATATGTATATATATTAGGCATTACGACGGATTGCTCGGCAGATTTCTTGAAGCCTGTCATAATTGGAACGTTGCAAACTTTATTGGTATAAAGGTGCGTGAGCCACTCGATCAGTAAGTTTAACGGTATACGTATACCTACGTTGTCATTATGTACTGAACCGTGCCTACCTCTGCAAAGTCTCGCGCAACTGTCTAATATATTACTGCAATACCCTGTACATACATATATTTCAGAAGTTTACTTTATACAATAAGCATTTGTTTTCATTCGTTTATATCACAATGAGACATAATAAGAATAGACTGCTCATTCTTATGAAGTTGTCATTATATTATTGGTTTAAAAGGAGCTTAAATTATAATCTCTCTCTCTCTCTCTCTCTCTCTCTCTCTCTCTCTCTCTCTCTCTCTCTCTCTCTCTCCCCCCCAAAAAAATAAAATAAAAAAACTGATATGTTCAATTATTTTTAAAGGAGTATTGATGCTAAAATCAGAGAAGTCTATGCCTACGTCTATGATTTGTAGGCATAAATTGTAGGAATAAATTGATCAAAATAACTAATAACTAATAATAATTATATTTTGAATAATGTTGTAGCGTTAGTGTCACAGTTTGTTCAATCAAATGATGATTTGTGTCGAATTATAAGAAAACTCGGAACATGTAAACCGAATTGTTTTGACTTGCAGATGCCTTTCACGTTGTAAAGTGACTCTCATCGAAAGAAGCTATACACTTACGATGGGCAAGCTTTTGAGTCTTTTGGCTCGAGATGAGTCTACCTGTTGCACCCCTCAGAAGTATGATGTCTTCTTGGATTTCGAAAGTGAGTCGTACATAAATGATATTTCGTGAAAAGTTTTAATCTTAATTCTAAATGCTATTTTTCGTGTTACTTGCTGTGTACTAATATTTTCCGTAATATAGCCTTGGCCACAAGTATAAAGCATCCTCGATTTATTGCATTTCCTTAGAAAAGATTGTAATAACATCGAAAGAAAAACTAACAAAATATTTAAATTGTTACAAAAATACAAATAGTATTCTTTTAATAAAATTTTTTAAATTTATTTTTTGTTGAACATAGAATATTTACTTCTTTTTGTGGGAATGCTTTATACTTTTGGTCAAAGCTGTACTATACAATGTACAATTCCACATTATTAAGAAATAAATGTGCTTCCATAATATCGAGATGTAACAAAAGCTTTTGTATAGCAAAGAGACATACATATGTTATTCGATAATTATCGATCTGTCCTATTTGTCTGTTCCACAGATGCACAACCGTCGGACATCGAACGTGAAACATTCGAGGCGGTGCAAAGAGTGCTGAAAAATTCAGAGTCCATTTTAGAGGAGATACAGTGTTACAAAGGAGCTGGGAAAGAAATCAGAGAGGCGATCTCGGCACCCACAGAGGAATGTCAACGAAAAGCATACTTAACTGTGGCACCTCTTGTAGCGAAACTCAAACGATTCTACGAGTTTTCCTTGGAACTCGGTACGCTTGATTAATCATAATAACGATAAGTTTTTTTATAAATAGCGATGTTACACTTTACTCCTTGGAAACTCGATATTGAATATTGGAAAAACTTCTTCCTGTACCCGCGGAATGCTGTTAGCTATATTTGCGGTATAAGTTAATTATATTAAATATTGATGGTTATCAGAAATACAAAATGTGAAAAACAGCATTTTAGAACAAAACTGATCTTTATATTCGATATTCTTATTTTTTAATGAATATTTTTTAAATAAAAACAAGTAAAATAGATTAATATCAAAAGTACAATATTTGGATTTCTGCATTTTTGTATTTTGGTGTTTATTAATTATCCTAGTAAAGTTAATATGAGAAAAAGTAAGAGAGAATGTGTAAAAAAATTATAAATTAGCCATTTATTTGTTTATATCAATTCTCGACATTACTACATTATATGCTGTTAATTTTTGTACTGCTTACTTTTAGGCAATATAATATTACGTATAATAAGCTACATAATAATACATGTATTAATATTGATTAATTACTGTATGCAGCTTGTCTAAAATTGCAAACAACGTTTCCATAAATAAATTTGGATATTAAGTTCGATAATAATTTTTATTTGTTTTTATTTATGTAGAAAGGATCGTACCGAAAATTCTGGGACAATTATGCTCGGGAAATCTTTCACCGACGCAACATCTGGAGACGCAACAGGCACTAGTGAAGCAATTGGCGGAGATATTGGAATTTGTACTGAAGTTCGACGAGTATAAAATGAAAACGCCGGCGATTCAGAATGACTTCAGCTACTATCGTAGAACATTGACGAGGGCATCGCTGACATGTCAGGACAACGCCGAAAAGGACCTAGTTGTTGGGAATGAACTCGCTAACCGAATGTCCTTGTTTTACGCCCACGCGACACCCATGCTTCGAGTTCTGAGTCACGCAACCATTACTTTCTTGATGGACGTAAGTGGTATCGCCTCTCTACATTGTTCCCGTCCGCACGATCTCCCATTGTTATCCGGACAATTATTGATCCGACCAGATGCTAACTGATGGCAATTAGACGAAATTCTGCGGTTATCCAGACAGTTTCTCGGTTTATCCCTTAATCATTCCGATCAATTGAAGAAATAAATCTAGTTTCTATAATTCTGTTTCCGTAACATTATTTATTTCATTACAATTAAACTCAAACATAATAATTTGATCGATCAGTGTATCTTAAAAAATCGCAAATTTATTATTTGTTAATAATTTTTCGAATAGATTTATATTAATAATTAAAAAGTATATGAATTATTCTTCTGTTATGAAATAGAAGAGTAAATATAAAGAATAGCGTAACATTGTAAACCCTATTTATTTTATTTGAAATTTTTTCAAGACTTTTATTAATTATTCTGACATATTTTTCAACATTGTTGCAATGAATCGTGGACTTTCATTCATATTGATTGCGATGACAAATAACCGCGTTACGTGATCGACATGCGATGTAATGGCAAGACGATAGAGAAAAAAAATTGTCGACGATAATAATGGCTCTGCTGAACTGGAAAATTGACAGGTATTCTAGCCTGCGATTTAAATTACCCGAGCTCTATATAGACTACAGACAAATAAACGTGGTATACGTGAGCCTGATGTAACATGCAAGTTTTTAATTAAAATCGATAACGAAACAATACTTTAATTGAGTACTACCTTCAATGTGCAAATATGCATTTCATGATAACATAATGCCTTTTAAAAGCGAGCTTTTCAATAAATATAAAAAAATTTGTATTGATAATATTTGTAAATTCGGAATAGCAAAGTTGTTACGATATTATACATTTAATATACTCGTAAAACTATATTTTTTTTTATTTTTAGAACGAAGACATAGCCAGGGAAAACATTACAGAAACGCTTGGTACAATGGCAAAAGTATGTCTTCGAATGTTGGAAAACCCGTAAGTATATCTATTTCCATCAGTATGCAAAGAGAAGAGAATTTTCTTAAGAGAGCAGGAATTTCTTCGCGAAGCTAATTTGGGAAATATCTTCTACTAGGAATTTGTTGGCGCAATTCCAACGAGAGGAAACTCAGCTCTTCGTCTTGAGGGTTATGGTAGGTTTGGTGATTCTCTATGATCATGTACATCCCCAAGGTGCCTTTGTAAAGGGTTCAAACGTGGATGTAAGTATACAAAAAGTTTTGTAGTAATGTTTTAGAAAAAAAGATTTTTTAACTAATGATATTAATTCTGATTTCGTTTTTTATAATATTATATATACATATATATAAAGAATTTGTCATATTTTAAATTTATGAAAATTAACAAAAATACCTTAAACTTTGTTAGATCTTATAAATTTTCTTTAGAAATTACATAATGAGGAATTTTGAAAATCTTAGAGGTTTTCTATTTCAGAATTCAGATATGAAGAATACCAGAAATATATATTCTTTCTTAGCTTTCTGAAAAATATTTCATTTTTTTTTTAATTCAAGAAATGAAGGTTTCTCGTTATATAATTTCTAAAAAAAACTTATAAAATTTCAAAAAATTAAAAATTTTTTGTCGTCACAAATTTAAAATATGACAAAATCTTAAAATATAATGAGATGTTAAAGGAATTTCTTTACTAAAGAAATATTATTGATAGCTTTGTAAATATTTATTATAAAAAGCTACAAATAAGAATCTCCTATCGCCTATATGTATATTCCTTCGATTTTATATATGGTTCAAATCTAACAGGTCAAAGGCTGTGTGAAACTATTAAAGGACCAGCCGCCTTGTAAAAGTGAGGGCCTTCTGAACGCCCTCCGCTATACCACAAAACACTTGAACGAGGAGAACACGCCGAAGAACATAAAGAATTTGCTCGCCGCATGATTACCGAAACAACGCGGTTGTTGCATCAGAAGCTGAGACTGCTGACCGCACTTCCTTGCAGATACTTTTCGAGCGGTATCGTTTCGAACGACCGTCTTTGTTAGTTCCGCGCTTAAAGTGCAATCCGCGTCAGGCTTCCTTCTTGCATGAGTATGGCGAATGGTGGACCACACGCGTGTCCTCGATAAAGCTCTATGTCGAAAACTGCCCGAAAACTGCCGAGACAGTTGAAATCTTCGAACAACAATCATTAAGTGACACGATAACGTAACGATCGATTTTGGCAGAACGATTATTGCGCGTTTCTTTTATTTTCCTACTGTCTCTTCTGGGGAGTACATATGTGCGATTACTACTATTCTAAAAAAAATTATTATTGCTGATATTACTATTAAACGTTGCGAAGCAATTATTGCCGAGGCAATGTCGAATCTTGGCAAAACTTCCACGCTTTATTCATCATTTTGATTAAACATTCGTTGCCATTAATATTTCCCATTAGCGCGAATCCCGAAGGACCTCAGTTTGCGAAATTTTCCAACGACAAAGAAAGTTAGATAGAATAAAGCTACAATAGAATTTTATGGTAACAGATTGTTCCCCGTAGTAATGTTTCCCTTGGTGCAGTGTTCCAACCAAAATCGTCTATTGACATGATTTCCGGCCGGACGGGATGAAAAGTTAATTAGAGCATATCATAGTGTATTTAAGATAACGTGGATTACGGAAGTGTTACGAAGAGAGCTTTAATCACGTTATGGATATTATGGAGATTTTTAGCTCTTGTTTTCTTTGTTGAATGGCGGGCGAGAGGGTGGATTGTGAAACTGTGAATTGCAGAGTCGAATATTGCCGAATCACCGAGTATAATCGATAATTTTATCGGTGAACTAATATTTTAAAAGTATTAAATATTATATTTGTATGCGAGCTGGATTAATTAAAATCTAAAGTCACACATTTTGTAATCTTTTCGTATACACGCGATTGAAGGTTATAATAAGGAAACCAAAGATGCTTTTAGTGTATAGTAAAGCTACGAGAACATCAGAGATGTGATTTATTATTATTATTATTATTGTATCATTATTATTATTGATATTCTCATAATGAGCGATGCGCTACAAAAGTTCTATTTATAGTAATTAACGAACTCACACGTAACCGCGATGTATTTCAGCGGTATTACGTCATTATTTATATATTGATACAAAAATATTTCCAACTGTGTGCAAATAGTCATCGCACAACAATGTAATATTTTGTCCTTTCAACATCGATGTGATTTTTTGATTTTTTTATCAATCATTTTAAGTTGTAGATTTTGTTGCGTCAAGAATTATGTTACCGTTTCTTAATGTTCTTAATTAATTATAATCTCCAAGTAATTTCTTATAAAATTTGGAAATATTATGTTTCATTTACTGAACCAGGTTTCGATCTATTTTCTAAACTTTTGAAAATTTTGCGAATAAGTACCGGACTAATGAAACAATCAGATATTTCAAATTTTTACTGTCGTATTAAAAAAATTTGTGATAAACACATTTAAGACCGTTTTTATATATGTACATGTGACGGAAATGAACTTGAGGAATTTTCGAACCGACTTTAGCACAAAACATCTTCTTGCGCGTTTTAGAGATTAATACCTTGAAGACTGCTTGCCGACCATAATGTGAAATCTTGTGTGAAAGTACACGTAACCGGAGATCACACGTTTACGTAAGAATTTATCGTGAAATGTTTATTAGTAGCGAACCTCAGATACTCAAGTACTGTATATACAGATTGTTATAACATATTATCGACATCCGCAGATATTACTGTTACATTGGCACTTCAGCAACAAGTGCCCTGACTTATTGCCTTGGTAATTTTTAAGGAAAAAAACAAAAACAAGAAACAGTATTTAGTTATTTTTACGTACCGTTCGTTGTATGCTTCATTTTGTAACGTTACTCAATGTCAATTAACACGAGGAATATTATTATCGCACGTATTACACGCACGCACGTGCGCAAATTGTACTTGAATTAAATTAAAATCCCCTGAAACACTCATAAAGTCTGCAATTATTTCAGTAATTATTATTTTGATGAATCAGTTCCTTCCAGCAAATGCGCGTATTTGTATACGTGATAAATATCATGTATGACTGTCTTCACAAGGCATTTCCTCTTCCTATATTACTGATTTATAATAATCTGCTAAAGCTCGCATCACACGTACATATCACACATTGGAGATTGGGATTGCAAATTAGAAATTAGAATTCGATAAGTCAGATAATTTTAATTTTGATCTGTTTTATGTCTTACAAATATTTTGTAAATGTTTTATAAATACTATATACTTTTCTCGGTATATAAAGATAAATAATTGATATCTTTTTAATATATATATTTTCATTCTAAAATACCACGATTGAATATTTATTTATTTTTATTTTACACGCAATTTATGGTGGAATTTGGTATTAGAGGGTTTATGAGGACGCTCGTTCCGAAACCGTGTTTTAAATTTGGAAATTCAAAATGGTTGAATTAATATGGCGGACGGTAATGTTACGGAAATCTAAAAAGTTCTTCAATTTTGGTGAAATTTGATGACTGATTGCCTACTTTTCTAATATTTTAAATTTCGTATAACTTTTCAACTAAGGGTGAGCAAACGAAAATTCCGACGCAGCAATCGTGAGCAAACGATGAGCAAACGAATGCAAAAAAAATATTCGATTTTTTAATATTGGGGTAAATATTAAAATAGATAATTGTAAAATCATAATAATCGAAAGTTCCATTGAAATACGAACAAATTTTGCGTTTATTCTTTACTCGCGTTTATTAAAAATATATATCATAATATTAAATACATATCTCTCTGAGAATTAAATCTACATTTAAAAAAAATTGTTATGTCAACAACGTTCCGATTTGGAAACATACGATCACAAAATATTACAAAAAAAATTCAGATTAAATTTCATAAAATAAACTTTATCATATAAACAAAACTTTAATTTAAAAAAATAAATGGAAAATGGCTGAATCGATTACCATCCGATAGAATCTAAGGCCCATATACGTATTTTCATCGATTCGAACGATTCATTGCTGAATCTCATCTCAAAAGCATGCGAAGATGAGAAATTCAGATGAATGAGATAAGATCCGAAAGGGATATAATAAATTTCCCTTGTATTAGTAGAAATATTTCTTTGTATCTTGTAAATTAAAAAAATTATTTTTTATATGATGTAAAATTGTTTCAAAATTAAGTATTTTAAGAGACATAAAACTAAACGAGATTACAAAAATAATTATAACTAGATAAAATTCTTCTGTTTTATGCCAAAATGTATATTGGATCTCACGTCATATTAATTGGCACAAAATCCAGTTATCAATCACTTTGTATGGATAAGTTATAAAAGTTTAAGTTAAAAGTCGGTGCATTAGAGATAAATAATAATTAATAATCATAAAGTATTTTTTATAAAAAGCGAGATTAATAAATTGTATGAAATATATTTATATGCTATACAAAAATATTACTTCAATAATAATATCTAAAATAAATTGTAAAACAATTTTTTAGAAAGCAATATGTGTACGTAAATATTGCTTTTCTGTACCAACATGTATAAAATTTAATCCTAGATAAATATTTAAGCAGTAAGTAATGAAATAATAGCCTATTATACAACGCAAGATGTAGCAAGACTATATGCCAATAATCGAAATATTTAATTTTTTATGACATAGATTGGTGCCAAATATTCTGCTTCTTACATTGCAAATTTATTTTGCTTATCATAAGATATTAAATTCAACATAAAGAGTACAGTCTTATTTAATTGAAAAGTATTAATCAATAGTATTAAAAAATATTAATTAATTTTAGTTATTTTATCAGTATTACTTTGTGCAAAAATTTTAATAATAAGCTATTATTAGTTTGTAATCACTTTTTATTACACGAAATCCGTGCAATGTACACAATATTTTTAATAAAAGATTGATGCCATGCGGCTTTTTCTTACTTTTGTACCGTTTAATTTTATCATTCACATCTTATTTCGAATAAAATTTAGCTATTATTTTTCATGGATTAAGAATGCGGAATAAAACATAAATAATAAAATTCAAAAGTAACAAAAAGCAAGGCGCATCAATCTTTTATTTAAAATATTGTACATATATACTGCGCGAATTTTTTGTAAAACAAAGTTATTACAAACTAATAATCGCTTATTGTAACACAATTAAAATATCTAAGATATAGATGAGCTGTGTCACACAGCCTATGTATGCGTAACGAATCTAAGAAATAAAGCAATAAAGTCTATTCATCGGAAAATATAAAAAATTTAACGAGTAGATTATTTTACTTCGTAATATACGTTAATATTTCGACGGTTAGACGGTTGGCGCGCGGCCTTGGGAATGGCATGGGGTGGCACGGGGTGGCACGGGGTGGGGCGTCACGTTTACGCGTAGTTACCGCGCAGCCATTCCCTTACCGAGGCTCGTACAGGTAGGTAGCTGTGTCGCGTGCCGCTCGATCTTCTTTACATTTCCTTTTGATACGAATTTGCGATAAATACTAAATAATACGAAACATCATATTTTTGATTTTGAAAATATTAAATAAGAAATAAGCCTAGAAAAAGTTTCTTAAAATATTAAATACTAAATAACTGCTTTATTTTTTTTTTTAAATACATATTTTAAATGAAATTGTTTTTAATACGACTGATCTCTGACTCATACGATTTATTTAAAATAAAAAACATAAAATAAGATCCGAAAACTTATTTTAAGTATTAAAGAATAGGTCAAAAGGAGTTATTTAAAATAATGAATACTAAACAACTCTTTTATCCTTTATATATATATATGTATATTAAAAATATATACTTTAAATAACTTTATTTTAAATACGACCGAACCCATATTAGTATATCGATAACTTTATTTCATATTACGTGAAACAAA